TTGATGTAAAATACCAATGATGGATATAGCTTGTGGAAACGCTACACTAGGTAAGGATGTCATCTGTGGGATGACTCTACGCCCTGCTACATTTTCAAACAATCTGTTTTCCCCACAAACATTAAAAAATTCAATTCAGTCCAGTCATGGATGAATCAATGTTGGATATAAATAACAACCTTGACAACAACAGGAGTATGTTTATTTTGGAAAACACTGAATATGGGTGACAAAACCATCATATTATCAACAAATTGCAGGGGCCTAGCAAATAAAACAAAACGTAAAGAAGAAATGAACCTATGTCGAAAGAAGAAATTTTCTATAATATGTCTACAAGACATTCATATTTCTTAAGAAGATGAAACAATAGTTCAAAATGAATGGGGACAAATAATGAGAATAACTTCAAAATATAATATCGCCTAACAAGTCAAATGCAAGAGCAGTTGCCATTTTGTTTTGTTATACTTTAGAAATAAAAATCCATAGATTTAAACGATATGATAGCAGATAGCATGGGCATAAGGTTAACTCTAACTAATATTTATTGGCCATATCAAGATGAACCTGCTTTTAACAAAACTTTATTCAATAAAATTGACGAATTTGAAAACGAATCACTGGTTATATGAGGAAATTGGAACTTGGTTCTCAATCTGCTGTCGATTTGGAAAATTAAAAGCATATCAACAATCCCAAATAAAGAAAGTTAGTACTTGAAAAAACAGAAAGCATTGATATAATTGATGTTTGCAGAGACAAAAATCAAGATGCAAAGAAATACACACGGTGGAAGAAAAAGCAAAAACAGCAAGCTAGACTTCATTTTGACATTTAATACTCGTATACATGAAAACCAACCTGGCTTTATCCCTGGGAAATGTATTAACGAAAACATACGACTTCTATATGATATCTTGTTTGAAACAAAATTACAAAATAAGCCTGGTTTACTATTACTTACAGACTTTGAAAAAGCTTTTGATACCGTTTTAAAACAATTTACCATGTTGACACTGGAAAAGTTTGGCTTTGGACCTAACTTATGAAAATGGATATACATACTTATAAATAATGCTTCATCTTGCATCATACAAAATGGACACCTATCTTCATTCTTCTATAACGAAAGGGGATGTAGACAAGGAGACCCATTGTCTCCATATCTATTCCTTCTCGTTGCAGAAACTTTGGGAATAATGATTCGTGATACGATTGCAAAAAACAGTATCGAACTGAATAATGTGGAACATAAACTCGGACAATATGCTGATGATATAGAAATATTTCTGGATGGGACTGATGAAAGTTTAAGAACAGCGACTGACGCCCAAAATGTTATTTTATAAAATGTTTGGATTAAAAAATTAATATTGATAAAACAAAAGCATTATAGATAGGGTCGCTGACAGGCTGAGACATCAAATTATTGTAGGATCTAAAACTAGACTGGAACAGTGGGGACTTTGCAATGCAGTAAACTACATTTATAATGAACATGCTTACAACGAACTGGCGGATATAACAAAATATTTCTTGCTCCCATCCATTTGTTGTATGTACGCTGTACATATGCTTATAACGAAATACGGTTATAACGAATTAAAATTACTGTTGTCAAAACCTTGGCCCTGTCAACCTGAGTACATATATTTCCCTCTCATCCAAACCCTCCAAGTGAATTTATTGATGAACAAAATATTGTACAGATTCATCTGGAATGATAAAAAGGACAAAATAAAATGAACAACATTGATTAGAAAATATGACCAAGGTGGACTGTGAATGATAGAGGTAAGGTTTTTTATAATTTCTCAAAAACTGTCAGTTCTAAAGAAATATCTTCAAAACAAAAACTGTTATAACCCTATCATCTTTCCACTTAAACACATATTCCTATTTGGGGACAATATCGAAAACTGTATACACTTAGCTAACCCTTACTGGAGAGATGTTTTGGCTGCCTGGGGAACATTGTAAAGACACAAAAATAACTCCACAAACATTGGAGAGGTACTATCAGAACCTCTTTGGTGTAACCTTTAGTTTTAAAAAAAAGATTTCATTATAATGAAGATGATATATTGCCCTGTAATGGACTTAAAAGGAAATACCAAACTGAAGGCACAATGCTTGACTATTACCGGGTTGAAACATACCAAAATCCTGGAAAGAAGCTATTAGAAATAATCACATTAACCTATATAATTAATATTTAAACACAATTTTGATGGACTTACTTGTAGCGCCTAAAGGCTCAAGATATTTTTATGATAACATTATAACTACAGCAAATCCAACAACAGTATGGGACGGGATACTATTCTTGACTTAGATATATCATGGAAGGATGTTTTTATCAGATACAGAAAATGTACAATATATGTAAAATTACTTGATTTTCAATATAAATTTATTCATCGCATCATCTATACAAGGAAAGAATTGTTTAAAATCTATGCTCATTTTGTGAAACTGATACTGAATTCTTACTTCATGTATATTGGGATTGTAAGCATGTTAAAGAGTTTTGGGCCAAAGCAGAATTATTTTTTGAATGCAAAATGTTCAAAACAATTCACATTTACAAAATGCTCTGTTTTACTTGGGTAAACACTCTAACATTCTGTTAAATCACATACTGGCATGCAAATAAATATATAAATGTATCAAGTATTAAGAAAAACAAGTTGTCACCTGAAAACTTTCTGAAGATTTAATCAATATATTTCGGATAGAGAAAATAATTGCACACACAAATAATACAACAAGACAATTTGACAGAAAATGGTAACATTTGGCAAATGAATTGTCTGGTTCATATGTCTGTTTTGAACATGAACAATTTCTACTAATGTGCTGTAAGGATTTAACTTCACACTTAGCTAATGGTGACCCCATTAAGCGTGGCAAATATAGCCTGCTCGTTTCACCATTTGTTAACATTGTTGTACACCTGTAGCCAACTAACATTTGCTGTATAGGTATGTAACCTCCACCTAATAAGTATATTACATGTCATGTTACATAATGTAAATCTATGTAACATTAAAAGTATTAAAAACAACAACAACAACAACAACAACTCATATTGACACGCAGTCTAAAGACATGGTAATTAATACATCAATAGAAATACAATAACCATTGGCTATCTTTAGAATGTAAGATGCTGCGTTTTCATTGGATTATACATGCAATGGATATTATACACATTCATTTGAATGAACATGAATAAATTGACTTAACTTGATTGACATTTATGCTTATCTTATCTTTGCTGAAGCGGAAACTTGACCTAGACTCACTAGGGGCGACGGACAAATAATGGACAAGCTGTGACACTTCATTATTTAGCATTGTACCTTGTATTGTGTGACGTCAGTGCGCCAACTGTGCTGGACCTTGAGGTTCAGTGAGTGAGTGAGTGAGTGAGTGAGTGAGTAAGAGAGTTGGGTTTAACGCCGCTTTCAACAGTATTCCAGTCATATCACGGCGTGTCAGCTTAATGTGGGAGGAAAGCCCGAAGTGATGCAGGTTCAAACGTTTACCACTTCAGTGAAACCCACAAGCACGGGTATGGGGCTGACAAACCTAGAAACATAATCGGGGCGAACCGGGATTCAAACCCACAATCATAGGTTTCTGGGGTGCCCAAGGGATGCAACTCTGCACAGAGACTCGCGGCGCCTTAGACGACTGGGCCACCCGTGAAAATATATTTCTTCATGTAAATAAGTTATGGAAATTTGTATGCACATTGTAAAAATATATACATATAAAGTACCTGTATGACAAAATTGTACACGTCAAAGTAGGAAATTACATAAAAAATAATTTTTGTCACTGATGAGTCAAATTTGGAAATGTCTCCACATGTCTACCATACAACTTTTTGAAGGCTTTACTGAGGCCTTGAATGTAATGTCCTGAATGTCCTGTTTGTCCGAAAACAATTAGGGCACTGTAGAAATAGTGAGGACATCAAGAGAATTTATCAGAGGTAACACATACATCAACCTGTACGATAATAATGCATATATCATCAGTCGGTAGATTACTCATGGATGTAAATATCGTAGTGATGCACAGTGGTAATTAGGTCATGTCTGACAAGTGCTACGAACATTCAGTGATGGATAAACATTGCTATCAACAATGAAAATGTAACAAGGTAACTATGTATGATACTGAAATCTTTTTATTTACTTAAATGTTTTATTTCTTATAATTGAATTCACAATACTTTCCACCAACATAGCGTCAGTAGCTGCCATCTTGGGCGATGGTTAACTATATAACAAGTGGAATTTACAAAACGATCAGTTGCTTTTATCAATTGGTATTGTCCTCATGATGTACAAAGTGTCGGAATAGAACGGCAATTGCGTGGATCGATGCTAATGATATCAGTCACTAGATTGTCTGTTCCAGACTCGATTATTTACAGACCGCCGTCATATTTATGGAATATTGCTGAGTGCGACGTTAAACAACCAGCCAACCAACCAAACGAATAGATCAAACATGATAAACAAACTGATTTGAGCTGATGTCTGGTATTACAAAATTGAAGACAAGCACGGTTCAGACCAAGCGACAAATAAACCCTCATTCCAGGTATTGATGTTCTCCTATATGTCCTGTTATTATGCGGACAGTAACAAGATGGACTAAAATACTTATCAAATGCTAAGCTAACTGAAAAAACGGACAAACATATTGTCAATATTGCCTTGAATTGTCAGCAATGTATGTTAAACCAGGGAACGAATATCATATTACAGGTACAAATTCAAGAGATATAGGAACGTATACATTGTGTGCCTGTGTGTCTTAATAATGCATGTATAGTGTAGACAACAGGAAAATACTTTATCATGAATCTATGACTTTGATGTGAAAACGGACATCCAAGTTATTAACAGTCATTATGCCAAACATAAACATAATTGACAGGTCACCGAAACCTTAGAAATGACAAACAGCGGATGGAATTAGTCATTCGGTGCAATCAAGTTTAATTACCATTAATATCCAAAGTGAAATATACTTTAAAACACGCTAGAGGAAGAAATGAATCGGGAAATCTTCAATAACTAGTGTATTAGGCTTTTGTTTATCAAGGCAAAATGTCAACTTAGTTTCTAAAAATAGCCACGATGCAAGAGTGTAGACAAGAAATAGTCCCTGACAAACAGATAAATCACATGGTAACATGACATACATCAATTTATTAACTAAAAGAACAGTAATTAAATTTACAATATTTTACACCAACATAGCGTCAGAACCCACTCGTTCCTAATCAACTTGATGACTCGTACCCAAGTGTTGGATACCCGTACCGACTCGTTCCTAATCAACTGGATGACTCGTACCCAAGTGTTGGACAAGCCGTACCTACTCGTTCCTAATCAAATGAATGACTCGTACCCAAGTGTTGGATACCCGTATCCACTCGTTCATAATCAACTGCATGACTCGTACCCAAGTGTTGGACAAGCCGTACCCACTCGTTCCTAATCAACTGGATGACTCGGGCCCAAGTGTTGGACAAGCCGTACCCACTCGTTCCTAATCAAATAAATGACTCGTACCCAAGTGTTGGATACCTGTACCCACTCGTTCCTAATCAACTGGAGGACTCGTACCCAAGTGTTGCACAAGCTGTACCCACTCGTTCCTAATCAACTGGATGACTCGTACCCAAGTGTTGGACAAGCCATACCTACTCGTTCCTAATCAACTGGATGACTTGGACCTAAGTGTTGGACAAGCCTACCCACTCGTTCCTAATCAACTGGATGACTCGGACCAAAGTGTTGGATACCCGTACCCACTCGTTCCTAATCAACTGTATGACTCGTACCCAAGTGTTGCACAAGCTGTACCCACTCGTTCCTAATCAACTGGATGACTCGGACCCAAGTGTTTAATACCCGTACCCACTCGTTCCTAATCAACTGAATGACTTGTACCCAAGTGGTGGGCAACTTGTAGCCACTCGTTCCTAATCAACTGGATGACTCGTACCCAAGTGTTGGATACCCGTACCCACTCGTTCCTAATCAACTGTATGACTCGTACCCAAGTGTTGCACAAGCTGTACCCTCTCGTTCCTAATCAACTGGATGACTCGTACCAAAGTGTTGGATACCCGTACCCACTTGTTCCTAATCAACTGGATGACTCATACCCAAGTGTTGCACAATCAGTACCCACTCGTTCCTAATCAACTGAATGACTCGGACCCAATTGTTGGATACTCGTACCCACTCGTTCCTAATCAACTGAATGACTCGTACCCAAGTGTTGGACAAGCCATACCTACTCGTTCCTAATCAACTGGATGACTTGGACCCAAGTGTTGGACAAGCCGTACCCACTCGTTCCTAATCAACTGGATGACTCGGACCCAAGTGTTGGATACCTGTACCCACTCGTTCCTAATCAACTGGATGACTCGTGCCCAAGTGCTGGAAAAGCCGTACCCACTCTTTCCTAATCAACTGGATGACTCGTACCAAAGTGTTCGATACCCGTACCCACTCGTTCAATATCAGCTGAATCACTCGTTCCCAAGTGTTGGACAACCTGTACCCACTCGTTCCTAATGAGCTGGATTACTCATACCAAAGTGTTGGATTCCCGTACCCACTCGTTCCTAATCAACTGGATGACTCGTACCCAAGTGTTGGATACCCGTTCCCACTTGTACATAATTAGCTGGATGACTCGTACCCAAGTGTTGGATACCCGTACCCACTCGTTTCTTACCAAACATCATAGAGTTCCTCACATGCCAACATCAGGCAGTCCGTGCTATCTGCACGAGTAAGTGACAGATCAGCTCCCTCCAACACAAGAAGATCATAAAGATCATATTGTCCTCTGTTTGCTGCCTTTATAACTGCTGTTTCTTCATATGGCCCCCATCGGCTGTTGATGTCAAATGTTTTCAAGGACAGGAGGTGTTTCACTACAGACACGTTACCTCCCTCACATGCAAACATCAGGCAGTCCCTGTTGTATTCATCAGTTAGTGACAGATCAGCTCCCTCCAACACAAGAAGATTATAAACACCATAGTGTCCGTTTATAGCTGCCATCATAACTGGTGTTTCATTCCAGAACCCCCCTCTTCTGTTGATGTCAAATATTTTCAGGGACAGGAGGTGTTTCACTACAGACACGTTACCTCCCTCACATGCAAACATCAGGCAGTCGATGTTGGATTCATCAGTTAGTGACAGATCAGCGCCCTCCAACACAAGAAGATTATAAACATCATAGTGTCCTTTTTTAGCTGCAATCATAACTGCTGTTTGTTTCAATGACTCCCTTTGTACGTTGATGTCCAATGTTTTCAAGGACAGGAGGTGTTTCACTATAGACACGTTACCTTCCTTACATGCCAACATCAGGCAGTCCCTGTTGGATTCATCAGTTAGTGACAGATCAGCGCCCTCCAACACAAGAAGATTATAAACATCATAGTGTCCTTTTTTAGCTGCCATCATAACTGCTGTTTGTTTCGGTGACCCACATCGTCTGTTGATGTCAATTATTTTCAGGGACAGGAGGTGTTTCACTATAGACACGTTACCTCCCTCACATGCCAACATCAGGCAGTCCCTGTTGTCTTCATCAGCAAGTGACAGATCAGCTCCCTCCAACACAAGAAGATTATAAACATCATATTGTCCTCTTTCAGCTGCCATCATGACTGCTGTTTGTTTTGGTGACCCCCATCGTCTGTTGATGTCAAATATTTTCAGGGACAGGAGGTGTTTCACTATAGACATGTTACCTCCCTCACATGCAAACATCAGGCAGTCACAGTTGTCTTCATCAGTTAGTGACAGATCAGCTCCCTCCAACACAAGCAGATTATAAACATCATACTGTCCTCTTTCAGCTGCCATCATAACTGCTGTTTGTTTCGACCACCCCCCTCGTCTATTGATGTCAAATGTTTTCAAGGACAGGAGGTGTTTCATTATAGACACGTTACCTTCCTCACATGCTAACATCAGGCAGTCGCTGTCGTCTTCATCAGCAAGTGACAGATCAGTTCCCTCAAACATAAGAAGATTATTAACATCATATTGTCCTCTTTCAGCTGCCATCATAACTGCTGTTTGTTTCTCTAACACCCCTCGTCTGTTGATGTCAAATGTTTTCAAGGACAGAAGGTGTTTTACTATAGACATGTCACCTCCCTTACATGCCAACATCAGGCAGTCCCTGTTGTCTTCATCAGTAAGTGACAGATCAGCTCCCTCCAACACAAGAAGATTATAAACATCAGAGTGTCCTCTTTCAGCTGCAATCATAACTGCTGTTTGTTGCCACCACCCTCGTCTGTTGATGTCAAATGTGTTCAAGGACAGGAGGTGTTTCACTATAGACACGTTACCCCCCTCACATGCAAACATCAGGCAATCCCTGTTGGATTCATCAGATAGTGACAGATCAGCTCCCTCCAACACAAGAAGATTATAAACATCATACTGTCCTACTTCAGCTGCCATCATAACTGCTGTTTGTTTAGACCACCCCTCTCGTCTGTTGATGTCAAATGTTTTCAAGGACAGGAGGTGTTTCACTATAGACATGTCATCTCCCTTACATGCCAACATCAGGCAGTCCCTGTTGTCTTCATCAGTAAGTGACAGATCAGCTCCCTCCAACACAAGAAGATTATAAACATCAGAGTGTCCTCTTTCAGCTGCAATCATAACTGCTGTTTGTTGCCACCACCCTCGTCTGTTGATGTCAAATGTGTTCAAGGACAGGAGGTGTTTCACTATAGACACGTTACCTCCCCCCTCACATGCCAACATCAGGCAGTCCGTTCTATATCTATCAGTAATTGACAGATCAGCTCCCTCCAACACAAGAAGATTATAAACATCACAGTGTCCTCCTTCAGCTGCCATCATAACTGCTGTTTGATGCCCCAACCCTCCTCGCATGTCTATGGTTATGTGTTCACATGTTTGCAGATACTCTACAACTGATACATGGCCGTTGCTAGATGCTATTTGGAAAGCGTTCACATTGAAAACATTCCTGAGAGTATGATCTGCTTTGTGTGAAACAAGGAACTTGAGGATTTCAACCTGCCCTGACTCAGCACACACCATAACAGGGGTGTTTCCCTCACCATCGCGGTCATTGATCAGGTGTTGAAACTTCTCAATGATAACATTTACTATATCTTTGCTTCCTGATTTACATGAAAGATGAAGACAGTTGTACCGATCTTTGTCTGTTGCTGAAACATCAGCTCCCTCTTGTAGGAGGAAGTTGAACACAACCAACTGTCCTGCTTCAGCAGCAATCATCAGCGGAGTCCTCTCTCCCTTTGTCCTCCTGTCTACATCGTATTCCCCTTGTTGTTTGAGTACAGCAGCAATATGTTGCAGGTGCCTGAGATTGCCATGTTTTGTACAGATTATGATACTCTCATAGAAGTCAGCGAGTACAGAATGTGAAAGGCTTCCCTCTCTACACATCAGTGACACTGTGTGTTCAAACAGTGAATGGTAAGTTGACAGTGAAACCCAGTATAGAAAACATTCGCCTGAGTTCCTATCTTTTCTGTGAACAACATCAGGCAAGTCTGTCATCATCTGTGTCAAGAAGCCGGAGACTATTTGAACACAGCTGAATACAGGGTGGCCCACTGTCCATCTGAAGCATCCTTCTCGGACACCCTCCACCAATCTGCTGATCACTAACGGGTGGAGACTTGAGGTGATGTAGATCATGTTTGTGACATCATCAGTGTGGGTTGTCTTTAGGTGATCATCCTTGTTCAGCCTCACTCTTTCATATAAAAACTGCAGGGAACAATGTTCCAGTAACAAATCTTCATTGAGATTCCCCAAGGCACATGCTGCAGCATCATAGATGGACGGATGGGAGAAAGAGGCTACATGATTCTCCACTGTACAGTAGGTGCCAGTAAAGTTGCTGATCTCCCTGCCAATGTCTGTCCGAGTGCAAGACGCGACATCCTCCTTTACAGCCTGGAACAGTTCAGTGAGATTCTTCTCCTTCCCCTTAAAAGAGGCAAGGTCCAACTTCCCTCCACACAGAACAAGGAGAACCAGAGCTGCCGACCTGCTGCTGCCTTCACGGACAATGGTGTCAAGGTCACCTCTCAGGTAGGTCACAGGGTTCTGAAAGAAGTCAATGATGTTTTGCATCTGGAAGGCTGGGTTTGTACAGTACAATTTACAGATCAGAGGAAAGCCAAACCTGCTGTCTTGTAACTGAGTTATGGTTTTCATGTCCTTATTGGAGATATCGCACATTTGGCATTTCCTGAACAATGTCAGAATATGTTTCTTTTCTTCTGTGGTTAAACAAGTCTTGATCATATCAACAATGGCTTCCGGCTTAAACAGATTTACTTTGAACTGATGCAGTCGTGCACATCCTTCATTCCAGTTGTAGCTTCTGGATGTGAATATAAAGCGAAGCTTGTAGTTACACACTGGTGTCTTTTCATCTTCACATTGCCTCTCATCTTCCTTCTTCCTTCTTTCGTTAATTTTCTTCTGGGGTTGTTTTTCCTTGGCTTTCAGTTCCTTGTCTCTTGTAAAGCGCAGTAAAACATCAACCAAGGCATTGAACATTTTGTGTATCTTCTCCAAGCTGCTTGGAAATGCAACAGAGCCAAAGACATCGTCAAACACAACCAGCATGTCACACTTTCGCTTAATGACGACATCACTGTCAAACTCTTCAATACTTTCAACAAACAATACTTGATACTTTTTCTTCATATACGCTTCACAGATCCTGAGAGCAGCACTAGTTTTCCCGTCTCCTGGGGCTCCGCAGATGGCCACGTGGTTGTGTCTTTTCAGAAGTTCTTTTGCTTTGTCAAGAGCATGGGTTTCCACAAACATATCACTGAGCTGGTTGATCCTAACACTGAGACACTCTGAAAACAATGACATCAAATATAATGCGTATATGAACATCATATTTCCTTTTCTATTAAAAAGCTTAAATTGTAATTCCGTGTTAGCTAAATCTCAGGTTATGAGCTTAATTCTGAATAACATGTAAAGCTATTCACAATGGGTTGTTTTATTGCCTTTCCTACCTTGAGATATACAGCCTTGATGTCTGCCATCCCCCATTGCCACGTTAGAGGAGTTGGACAGGTCGTAATGTGAAACTGTAGAACCTGGAGCAAAAATGAATGAAGTTAGAGTGTATTCCACTGAAATACAACATCTACTAGTCAGATTCTTTGTTTTGTTTACATGTTGCAGGCTCTCCACCGAAGTGAGTGAGTGAGTAAGGGATGCCAACTAAATGAGGGAAATGATGCAAGTCTTAGATGTTTACCACTTTGGTGAAACCAAAAAGTACAGTTTGGATTCTGAAAAAGCGTGGAACATAATCAACATATAAATTTAAACAAAAGATCACAGGATTCTTCAACAACCATGGAACGGAACACTACACAGTGAATTATGGTGCCTAGATGACCACGGTCTCCTTTTGTTTTCCTCAAAAAGAAAACTAAGTCAGATTTTGCATACAGCCTCACCAAAGTAGTTGTGGGTGGTTGTGGAAATGGACTGTTTCCCCTGCTGCTGACTTCCCTCTGTGGCAGCTACAGTATCTGTGAAAGGTCCAGCCACAGCGCCATCTTGTGTTGATGTTGTTGTGAGTTGTCTCCCCTGCTGCTGACTTCCCTCTGTGACAGCTACAGTATCTGTGTAAGGACTAGCCACAGCACCATCTGGTGTTGATGTTGTAGTGAGTTGTCTCCCCTGTGGCTGACTTCCTTCTGCAACATCTACAGTATTTGTGAAAGGACCGACCACAGCGCCATCTGGTGTTGATGTTGTAGTGAGTTGTCTCCCCTGTTGCTGACTTCCCTCTGTGGCAGCTACAGTATCTGTGAAAGGTCTAGCCACAGCACCATCTGGTGTTGATGTTGTAGTGAGTTGTCTCCCCTGTTGCTGACTTCCCTCTGTGGCAGCTACAGTATCTGTGTATGGTCTAGTCACAGCACCATCTGTTGTTGATGTATTGAGTTGTCTCCCCTGCTGCTGACTTCCCTCTGTGGCAGCTACATTATCTGTGTAAGGTCTTGTCACAGCACCATCTTGTGTTGATGTAGTGAGTTGTCTCCCCTGTTGCTGACATCCCTCTGTGGCAGCTACAGTATCTGTGAAAGGTCTAGCCACAGCACCATCTGGTGTTGATGTTGTAGTGAGTTGTCTCCCCTGCTGCTGAATTCCCTCTGTGGCAGCTACAGTATCTGTGAAAAGTCTAGCAACAGCGTCATCTTGTGTTGATGTTGTAGTGAGTTGTCTCCCCTGCTGCTGACTTCCCTCTGTGGCAGCTACAGTATCTGTGAAAGGTCTAGCCACAGAGTCATCTTGTGTTGATGTTGTAGTGTGTTGTCTCCCCTGTGGCTGACTTCCCTCTGTGGCAGCGACATTATCTGTGAAAGGTCTAGCCGCAGCACGATCTTGTGTTGATATTGTAGTGAGTTGTCTCCCATGTTGCTGACTTCCCTCTCTGGCAGCTACAGTATCTGTGAATGGTCTTGCCACAGCGCCACCTTGTGGCACTTTGTCGTCAGTTTCCATCCTTCAAAAGCTGTAGTTTGTTCAATACAAGCATTTCAGATTCCAAGATCATGAAGAAGGAGACTCTGAAACAAACAAACAAACCATGCCTTAGGAGATTGATTAGAATCAGGCAAGTCCCAGTGGGAATCTGGGTTCTATTACTCGTCATGCTGGGAGGCTAAAGGTGAAGCAGGTGGTCATACTCGGTGACTGTGATGACTAAATGTCACTACACCCTAACATTGGGGGCATTAACCTATGGCTTGATGGTTTCTTCTGTGTTAAGAATCACATTTAGTGTTCAGAATACTTATAATACACAATTACTCAAGTATTTTTTCAGCATGCAATGCAAATGGACCAGTAATAGTAATAGTGAGTGAGTGAGTTAGTTTGGTTTTACCCCGCTTTTAGCAATATTCCAGCAATATCACGGCGGGGGGCACCAGAAATGGGCGTCACACATTGTACCCATGTCGGGAATCGAACCCGGGTCTTCGGCGTGACGAGCCAACGCTTTAACCACTAAGCTACCCGACCGCCCCAAAAGTAATAGTAGTAGTAGTAGTAGTAGGAGGAGTAGTAGGAGTAGTAGTAGTAGTAGTGGTAGTAGTAGCGGCACATGTGGTAACCACGGTACTAATCTGGAAGGGGAACAAAGTATGACGGTATAACCAGGGTTGAAACAAGTCACACACCTTGAGCTCCGTGATGTGCTTCAACGCTTTTGTCAGACACGATCTGTCTAAGGTCTAAATGAATTGGTATGGGTGCATGTGTACAAGGTAACTTTGATCCAGAGGATCAACCCGGTGCAGAGAAGTTTTGTACCTGTACTGTCATAAAGCACACATGCGTAACCAAGAAAATATAACAAATTGTAATTTGCATGTGGTACCTACAGAATCAGGAATGAGAATATTTATGCAATATAAAAGTAGAAGACAAAAGAAACCCTCCTGTTCTGGCAATGTTAACAGATATTCAAAACTCCAAGCCATCACACTAATTTCAACCATGATACTAGCATCATGTTGCACGTTACAAGGATGACATACCTTAATTTAAGCAGTGTTTTTCCAAGTTACAGAATCAAATAAACAGTAAATTCCAACTTGAGTCATGTCAGTCATGTCAGTCATGTTTACAGTCGCCATCTTGGATTTCTGACGTCACGGTTGCGTATCATGTGACCTTAGGTCATCTATAAATAGACCTGTCAAGGTTAACTTTGGAGTAATTGGAGTAATTAGGGTTAATCCTAGAGAAACCGAAGAAGACCTGCTAATGTACACTAAAGAAGTAAATGAAAACGTAGACATGTATCCCCAACCTAAAATTACCAGCACCAAACGTATCACATCAATCAGAAACGGAAAAACCTCTAACACCCCAATAGTCATCATAAACTTTCAAAAATCTGCAAAATATCCCAAAGCCCCTAAATTTATATCGTTCGGCGCAGCCACCAAACTAGAGGTCAAACCCTACATTAAACAGGTCAAACAATGCTCAAACTGTCTTCAATATAATCATACAGCTAATCAATGTACATCCGTAAAACTAAATGCAGGAAATGCGCCCAAACTCACTTCCCAGGGACTTGCGCACCCTGGTGCATCCATTGTAAAACAACAGAACACTCCTCACTCTCCAACAAATGCCCACACAGACACACCCTCACACAACAGGCCAACAGACACATCAACATCGACATGGCCAAACAACAAACAAGAAGACTAACACAGCATCCAAAACAACCACTACTGCCCACCTCGCAACCAGACAACACCCCACATCTAAACTCCGCATGGGATGGCATCCTGAGAGTACACCCAGCAATCAAAACACCCATCCAAAACACACCCAACCCTCAAAACTCCGCTACTACAAATACATTCACAACATCCACACCCGCACGCAAAACAAACCACATCTCACCCGCCACACTCCAACCCCGCAACATACAACCAACAGCCACTAGGGCAACCACAACCCAACCCGAGCAAGCACTACCTGAAAACCCAGACAGCAATCAAACACAAACATACCCAGCACGCAAACGCAAACACTACCTGACACACAAACAACCCCCATGGAGAGTGAGGAAATAAACCAAAATAATACAAACGAATACGAATACACCACCGAAGAGGACACACACGAGATAACCCGATAAACAACTCTAAAAATCCAACTGAAAAAGCAAACAATCTCGCAAACCACTTTTCGGCCACAAGAAGCAAAAACAACTTTAGCCAAACCTTCCAAAATAAACTTAAAACAGAGGAAAAACATACAAAAGAACCAAACAACAATAACCTAGAAATAAACCAACCCTATACAATGGAAGAATAAACCTATGTACTTCAAAATAGGAAAAAGGGAACAGCCTCAGGCCTAGACCTAACATCATACCAAATAATCAAAAAACTTCCCCAAAACCTACTACAGGCACTACTTAAACTATACAATCTCATCTAACAAAAAGGACAAGTACCAACCCCTGGAAACAGGCACTAGTCATTCCAATACTTAAACAAATAAACCAGCTAACCAGGCCAACTCGTACAGACCAATCTCTCTAACCTCTAACCTATGCAAAGTAATGGAATCCATGGCCAAAAATAGACTTCACCACTATCTAACTCAAAAGAACATCATTAATCCAGATCAAAGCGGTTTCACTCCTGGCCGCTCAACCCCAGATAACCTTGCCCGGCTAGAACAGGAAATAAAACTGGGACAACTCAACAAACAATACACAACAGGCATCTTTTTGGACTTCTCAAAAGCTTTCGATATGGTTTGGCATGACGGGGTAATTCAAAAACTGAAAAAAATAGGACTAAAAGGACAAATACTAAATTACATCCAGGATTTCTTAAATGACAGGAAAATAACAGTGGGTATAGACCATACTCTATCGGATCAGTTTTCCCCTAGAAAATGGCACTCCCAAGGGCAGCATCCTCAGCCCAAAACTCTTTAACATAATGATTAACGATCTCTTTGAGGGCTTACCCCATAAAATAAACACTTCTAAATTCGCAGACGACGGAGCCATCTGGATACGCAACAAAAGCATCCAAATAACCGAGAATCTACTCCAAAAATCCTTAAACCAAATACAACAATGGGCCGATAAATGGGGTTTCTCCCTCAACCCCGAAAAAACTACAGGAATAGTATTTAAACACAGGAATATGAAACAGACCATCCCAAACCTACAGATAAACAACAAACAAATCAATTTAAAAAAACTTACTAAATTCTTGGGACTAATCTTCGATGAACACCTTACATGGGAAGCTCATGTAAACTATCTAAATACAAAATGCAGCAAGGATCTAAACACACCAAGATGTCTCACCGGATCCAACTGGGGGGCCGCTAAAGACACGCTCTACCAACTTTACACCTCACTAATAAGATCTAAACTAGACTACGGATGCTCCATCTATAACACCCTAAACCAAACCCTCTCCCAAAAGCTAGACTCAATACAATACCAGGCTCTAAAACTAGTCACACGAACCCAACAGGGCACCTCCCTTACTTCTCTCCAGGCACTAACGGGAAATATGCCACTAAATCTTCGCAGAGAACACTTAACCCTAAACTTCTGGGCCTCGTCCCAATCAAACCCCCTCATCCAAAACCTTATAAAACAAAACATCAGACCTCAAAACAAAGCGCTAACTAGGAAACACCCCCTACTTTGACCAATATCCCAACGAATAACTAACTACCTAAACGAACACCAAATAAACAACCTAAACCAAAATTGCAAACAATCCAATATATTCACCCCAAAACTCAAAATCCCCACAATAGACACATCACTAGCCAACACACTAAATAAACAGACCGACCCAAACATAGCCAAAACCACAACACTAGCATACATACACGAAAACTGGCCAAATTGGTGCCACATCTACACAGAGGGATCCTCTGATCCGATCTCCAATCACACAGTTTCGTAGTCCACATCTCACAACCAACCAAAAATACTCAATCTTTCCGACTCCCAAACAACCAATCAATTTTCACAGCAGAGCTAATGGGCATGGCCTCAGCCCTACACAACCAACACGCTACAAAGCATAAAAAAATCCTAATACTCACAGACTCACTAAGGGGAATACAGGCCCTCCAAAATAAAAAAAACCAAAAACCGCCCTAATATGATAAACCAAATGCTAAAAAGTGCAAACAAACTAACTGAGGAAGGCAAACAAATAGTTTTTATCTGGATCCCCGCACACGTAGGAATATACGGTAACGAAAACGCGGACAAAGCAGCTAAAGAATCCCTCAAAATCCCGGAAGTAAGACTAAAGCTACCCATTTCCAAATCAGAAATCAAAAGTATCAACAAACGAAAAATAACTAAAAAATGGCACAGCCTTTACTCAAAATCAAATAGCCAAATAAGAAATATTCTCAAAAAGCCCCTAACTAAACCAAAAATCCACCATCCAACCAAAAGAATAGATAGAATAATCAACAAATTACAAACAGGGCGCACCAGCTTAAATAGTCAGCTTCAAAAATTCAAAAAACACGGAAAAGGAAACTGCCCACACTGCAAACACTTAGAAACACCTGAACATGCACTCATACACTGCACCAAGTACAAAGCACACCGTGACACACTTAAATCAACCCTCAACCTAAATAAGGCTCTCACCCTAGAATCAATCTTAAATCCTCAAAATAAACCAGAAACCTTTAAAGCCCTATTCGTATACCTAATTAAAACAGGCCTAATTAAACGCATCTAATTAACCAATAAACTATCAAAAGCAACATGACATAAACAAACAAACACCTCAATAGGCCCCCGTAGACAGACCCCCCTCGGCATTATTCCAAAACTCAAAATTCCAAATTTTTATATAAGCAATCACTAACCCCCCCCCCCCCCCCCCCCCCCGGCGTTAAACCCAACTCACTCACTCATTCATTTATTACTGTTGTGTACGGTTCCATTTGGTTAGCAGGGTTTGTGTTGTGATTACTTCCGGTTTACATTTTAAGTATGTTCAGAAGAATATTACGATGTTGAACCGAATATGGTGAATATATCATGCAACGTATTATTTTTTAGGAAAATAATTGCAATCTACAGACCATCTCTGCCGGAAGTTAACAACAATGTCAAAGCAACCGACCATGTAGAGTTGTAAAGGGTTTGAATCATGCATTACACACAGTGAATTACTTGAAACAATACTGTGCTCAACTTTGCACACAGAGCAAGCACCATACATGACATTATCAAGACAAATAATTACAAAGTTCTCATATCAAACCAGTTGTTTGACATGTGTTGTTTATTGAACAAAGTCATACTGTATAGAAGCCTGGTATTTCATCGTGTTGAACAATTAGTTTGAAGGAACAGCGCAAGCACGGTCTGCACGTGCTACACAGTGACCTGTTCATTCAATGACAAGATGCGCTACTCAGCAGATGTTAAACAGTTAATGTTGAATGTGTATGATTTCTTTAGAAGTGAAGCAGAAAGAGCAAAGCCTTTTTATGCAATTAATAAATTCTTAAAACGAGCTTCAAAAGCTCTTGGTATGTCCCCTCAGAAACTTAAAATGTTGTTTGTCAACGAGATACAAAAAGTCAGGCCAAGGAGGTAGGGAACATGTCAAAACCACGCAAGGTTGATAAATTAAACAGGTTTTTTTCAAAGGGATCAAGTCAGACGTGGAATTGTTAAACAGCACTCAGAAAATAAGTACCTGTCCTGTAAGGATTTTGAAGAAACACATTGAAACTGACCATGATTTACGTGTTACAAAGTACAAACTATGGCAGGTGTTGCATACATTTGGTTACAAATACAAAAAGATAACTGGAGAAAATAGGGCTGTGTTGTTTGAACGGTCTGACATTGTTCGTCTCCGAAATCATTACCTTCGTACCATCAAGCAGAAACGTGAAGAAGGATATGAGCCCGTCTTCTTAGATGAGACATGGGTAAATGAGTCACACACAGCCAGCAGTCAGTGGGTACCCAGTGGTGACTGTAAGGAGTCTGGTAGAAAGTTACCAATGGGAAAGGGTGAAAGACTCATAGTTCTCCATGCTGGTTCTGCTAGTCAGGGTTTTCTCCCAGAGAATAACCGTAAAGGAGACATGGTTACTTGGCTGCAACGGAGGAACATTACCTTTCCTTCTGGAGCGACGAAACCACAGCTCTATGAAATCATCAAAACTATGAAACCTGACCCCGTGTATAAAGTTGACAGTTACATCAAGCGTAGGGTCACGCTGTCTTACGACTGCCACCTTATCACTGCGACCTGAATCCAGTCGAGTTGGTATGGGGCATCGTCAAGGGTGACGTTGAACGATCGAACACAACGTTCAAATTACAAGACGTTGAACAACTCGTAAAGGAATCCCTTGGTCGGGTAACAGTAGAAACATGGAGGCGTTGTGTGGCCACAGTCGTTGACGAGATAGAGCCACGTTATTGGTCACGAGATGGACTACGGCCAGCAACAGTCCAACCTATAATAGTGGCAGTCGGTTCAGGCACCAGCAGTTCCAACGACGAGATCTATGGCATGAGCCAGTCAGATTGCGACTGAAATTATCATGAGACGGCCCCTCTCACGCTCTGTCATTTCCCCTACCACAGACCGTGCAGTGCATGCGTGCTTGCGCTGTGCCTACCACGGTTTGTCCCCCCTACGTGTCATGTACACATTTCTATACAAAACTACATGATAGTTTCTTAAAGAACTTCATCCGTCATGGTTCTTAAAATAAACAAAATTCAGATTTTGTTGGGTACAGGGTATTTATGGTCAAGTACCGTATTGATGTTTCATACACTTTTCTGGATTTCGAGTTATTTTGCAATTCATCGTTCTCATTTGGAGTCAAACGGACTGTAGTTGCAAAATCATTGTGAAGAGAGAAAGATTGAGTGCGCGTCACCTGCATGTTTGACCTGACCGCCTCCCTGGCAGCCTGAATAACTTACCATACACTGAAAGGTAGTGCGCAATAGAGCTATTCATGCGTATAATAACTCACCCTCCAAACCCGCGGCAGCTCACAGCTTGAATAAGATACGAAGTACAGCATTGCAAGGCCAGTGCGTGATAAAGCTCGACACCAAGATATAGCTAAAGGTGATAATACTTATAGTTTATTCTTACAAAATAAAGACCGGTTAACTTTAGCAAAGCGAGATATATTTCCCCTAAATGAACAAAATGAACAAATTGCATACATTGTCTCCATTACGAAACAGAATGTGTCAGGTTAAAACATGCCCAGATCAAAGCGCGCTCCTTCAGTCAAAAACACTCTAACCTATTAACCTCCCTGCGTTCAGGGCGGGGAAGAATAAGGCACGAACATTTATCCTGAAAATAACTGTCCTGTGTGATAATAATCAATTATATTGGTTACATATAAAAATCAGTGTGAACTGTAAAATTTGTTGTTTAGATTGTCAAATGGAACCCTCAACTATTGATATAATGATGCGTTGTATTTTCTGTTTCTAAGTATAAACCCTTTAATATAAATTCTCCAGGTTTTAAATCAATTTGTGTCTATATTGTCTACACAGAAAAGTGAGCGAATGAAGGTTGTTTATGCCACAGTCATCGTTATTTGTATTGTTTACCTGGTAAGACGTGAAGAACGTGCAGGGGAATGTCTGTCTTGTCCACGTAACAAGGAAGTAAATCCTACTTTCTGTATAGAGGTAGGAGGGGAGGTAACTTGTACAGCAACACGGTAAGTCTGGTTTTAGATGAGTCCCACACCTGCAGCCAAGTGAAGTGGTTCAAGCCTCATGTCAGATGGCCGGCGGTGTATGTTGGGGTATAAACTTTGTCTTGTGTAGGTTTTCATGGGTTGGAATAATGCCCATGCGACGTTAAATTTTTACTCACTCATGGGATGGCGTCTTCTTTGTACTGAAGATCATTGTCCTGTATGAGGATATTATTTGTACTGATTTAACTATTTTAAAGTAAGTGACAGAGCTGGGTTAAACAGAGTTATTAAAGCGATCTCACATAAACTTTCAAAACTGTTTCAATCTCACACCATATTTAACATGTTTAGATTTGAGATAGTGTGTGTATCTTCTTTTGATATACTATTCATAACCCGGTATAAGTTGTAACAATATTCTAATGACATTTATTTCCAGCTGATGAGTGAGTGAGTGAATAGTTGTAGATTGCGACAGTGAAAACGGACTTCTCTCCGGAGGTATTTTTTAAGTTCGACGGGAAAAGATCTTGCTGGTTCCTCGGGGGGCTTAGTTGTCGGTATCAGCTTGTGAATAACTTCCAATGTTTGGCCAATATGCCAAGTAGGCAACAAATCATCCCCCAAAGAATTCTGGGAATGTACGACCAAGCTCCCTTCATGCGTATCAAACTTCACGTTATGTAACTTTATAACATCATATCCATCTCCTTAGTTGGTGTGGCAAATACTGTAGGATCCGAGGTCCGTGGATGGGCCTGCACCCGGGGAATCCGATCCGAAAGCAGGGTATCACGAGAGGCCGTAATTCACCCTGATTCACCCCGTTGTGGCCCTTGCTGATCCGAAATATGATGCACTGGATCGACAGCAACTACTGTAGGATCCGGGGGGCACGGGTGGCCCAGTCGTCTAAGCCGCCGCGATTCGCTGTGCAGAGTTGCGTCCCTTGGGCATGCCAGGAACCTATGGTTGTGGGTTCGAATCCCGGTCCGCCCCGAATATGTTTCTAGGTTTGTCAGCACGTGGGTTTCACCGAAGTGGTAAACGTCTGAGACCTGCATCACTTCGGGCTTTCCTCCCACATTAAGCTGACACGCCGTGATATGACTGGAATACTGTAAAAAGCGGCGTTAGACCCAACTCACTCACTCACTGTAGGATCCGAGGTGCGTGGATGGGTCTGCACCCTGGGAATCCGATCCGAAAGCAGGGTATCATGAGAGCCGGTAACCGTCATCTTCCCGATCAAGAGCGTTAACTGACTATAAAAGTCCAGTTTCCACCCTTCCCGAATTAGGCTGGGATTATGGAGTTAGATTTTGACTGGGCTATTGAGTCTATGCATAGTCCAATCAAAATCGCGCACCGAAATCGATATTCGGTTCGTAAACTGTCATGCAGATTTCGGTCGATTGCAGGATTTGCAAAGCCTGTGCCTCGCCAACTCGTTGTCAACAGATATTTTCCAAATCTGTTCATGTTTTTAATCAAGGTGCTCACGTGATTTGATGTACTTCGCGAAGTAAGAACCGTTTTACCACAAAATAGATCTTGATAGTCGATCAGATCGTCTTCACTGGGCGCCACCGTTTTGTTTGAAGCAAATGCATGTGATACGAGAGGTGGAATCTTATTAGTCCATATGGGAGAGGTATAGAATAGAATGGTCGTAATAGCCACTGGTGGCGCTACGATCGAGCCAAGAAGATGGTAGCCGTCGACCCTGATTCACCAAGTTGTGGCCCTTGCTGATCCGAAATATGATGCACTGGATCGACAGCCGTGATACTTGATCCAATTCCATGTGTACTTGCAAACTGACACACATCGCTGGATTGACAAGTATCAGATTCCCGGAACGGAACTAGCTGAACGGACTCGTGGTCGTTTGTCAGAGACAACCAGGGTCCCTGGACAAAATCGTCGATAGACGCCTGTTTAACTGGTTTGGATTTTGCTGATTTTGCCGAAATAGACGAGCCAGATGAGTTAGAACTATCATATATTTAGGTTTGTCGAGTTAAGACTTGTACCACTGCATGACTAATTCCTTGAATAATTCCGCCTAAGTAGAATCAACACACAGATCACATCGAGTAGAATTGGTGCACTCCATAGAAGGACAATATCTGCACAAGTATGGGTGTGACAGTTTAGGGTGGAGCTTGACTTGCCCTGTGTGCCCAGCCTCGCACGCCACATAGTTAGGTCGAGTGAGTGAGTTTGGTTTTTCGCCGCTTCAAGCAATATTCCAGCAATATCACGGCGGGTGACACCAGAAATGGGCTTCACACATTGTACCCATGTCGTGAATCGAACCCTTGTCCTCGGCGTTACGAGCGAACGCTTTAACCACTAGGCCACCCGACCATCCCCACATGGTTAGGCCTACTAATGCCTACAGGGAATAATAGTTACACAGTATGTTGTTTTAGGGAAGTGACAGGATGAATTCACTACATTATACTACGAACGAAAAGTAGAAGAGCCACGATCCTTTCATATTGGAATGATTAATCTGTCATGGCATGACAAATTTATTGTAGTTGTATGAAAGAAGGGTGGTCCTAAACCTTTTTTCGAACCAGTATATACTGCCTTCTACACTCTTGAAAGCTATTAACTAACCTTAAGTACATGCTTCTACTGTTTCATCTCAAGTATTTTTATAGTTCCGATTTCCTAGCTATTGCCGAATTGTCCACGACGTACCTATGAGCGTCTTCTAAGTCTTCAGTGACATGGTTCATCAGACATCAGGCGACCCCTGCAGCCATTGTGATCCAGATTCCAGCTTCCCATTAAACCTTGATGTCCATGGACGCTATTGCCATTGTTCTCTCCGGAGGAAGGCTCAAAATCTGGGCTTCAGTGAAGTGAAGTCTACCAACAAGATGGTGATGTCCATAGATGGGTTCTATTTAACAGAAATAGCAGAAACAGTATGTATAACGGCTAAGGATCACAAGATAGATAAACACGGCAAACATGTCAGTCAATGAAAACGGTTGCCAAGCGCCGCTGCACCGCTGTGCCGATAGTTTGGGAACACCTCACTGTGCCCTCACCTATTGTTATAGGGTACAGGTTGGGGTGAGGGCACAGTGAGGTTATACCGATAGTTTGGGAACACCTCACTGTGCCCTCACCTATTGTTATAGGGTGCAGGATGGGGTGAGGGCACAGTGAGGTTATACCGATAGTTTGGGAACACCTCACTGTGCCCTCATCTATTGTTATAGGGTGTAGGTTGGGGTGAGGGCACAGTGAGGATATACCGATAGTTTTAGTCCATGCCACAAAAACTTTTTGTTATGGAAGCCGATTTCGGAGCCTGTGATTTCAGCACTTTCACTTGGACATTTATGTACTTTCGAATAATTATAGGAATATTGTTCCCACGGATATAGACTTAACACATATAGGACTTCTGATGTTCTTTTTGCTGTATTTTTCCCACCTTACTCAACCTATAAGGCTGCCATAATGTACTTCGAAAGTTTCTAAGACAATTTGTACAATTACTGCAAAGTACAAATAACAAAGTACAATTCATAATGCTTATTAATTTAGAATATTTATCAACATTGTTAATTTGGCCATACACTGGAAAATATCCTGCAGGTTGAGTGGGATAATGCTGCGATCACAATTTAGGTATAGTTTGATGCCACTCAAAAAGAAGTTGAGAAACCTAGACCATGCCCAGGAGAGGGAGAAGAGACAACCTCTTGACAACCAGAAACCAGTGAACGATTACCACAATGCTGTTTCTCTTTTAGTTGTACTGTAAATTACGTAAATTTAAGATGTGTTGTGTATTTTTGTGTGGCAAATCGTTACCGATGTGTTACAAGCATCCGCTTCAACAAACACAATGGGGATTATCCCTTGGCCAGCTGCTGGATAAACAAGAGGTCATCGTTTAGGGAACCCAAAAGGTTGTCAGTGTGAGTGTGAGTGAGTGAGTTTGTTTAAACGCAGCTTTTAACATTATTCCAGTTATATCGCGGCGAGTCAGCTTAAGGTGGGAGGAAAGTCCGAAGTGATGCAGGTCTCAGACGTTTACCACTTCGGTGAAATCCAAGAGCACGGGTATGGTGCTGACAAACCTAGAAACATAATCTGGGCGAACCGGGATTCGAATAGGATGTCAGTAAGGACATAAAACGAGGTTATCGTCCTTTCAGTGTAATACAATGATAGTTACAGATTGTTAATTGTTATGTTTTTATTATTCACAACGTCAAAGTCAAGGGTAAATTTTAACCCATTCAACAATGTATACATTGTTGTTATTTTTGTAGGATTAACAGAAATAACAGAAACAGGATATGTATATGGCTGCTAAGAACTACCAGCCAGCCAATGAAAACCTTTGTCACGGACCGCTGCGCCGGTACCCTTAAGCCACGCCCCCAAATATGTTTTTTTTGGAAGCTGACTACGGAGAGTGTGATTTTAACACTTTCAATGGGACATGATAATATTTTCTACTTTCCTTATTATTTTATTTCCCCTCGGAAATTGACTTAATGCATATAGGACAATTGATTGACATCAGATATATTAATATTTATTAAACTTGTTAGCTTAGTGTCATCTTGATCATACACTGGGCGATTTAATAGTAAATGTTTTTTTGTTTCAGATACTGAATTGACTGCACAAATAGTATTATCACCATAAACCCCACAAAATTTCTGTATTCGGAGAAAATTATATCCACTTCTGAATGTAATCAATGTTCTTCTATACTGTAATTTTTTTTAAAATGTAATAAGTACATTTCACATTCCAACAAGGACTTAAAGAAAGCATTGAATTCTACAATTTTTGATGAAGTGACTTATCCGCGCCAATCTGAACTCTTTAATCTTTTAATATTTCTTAAAATACCTTCAGATGTAACTGCACATTCCCACCTGTTGTAAAAACCATATTATTTCAATCCAAAAGGAAAAAAAGCAAACCTTTAAAGTGT